CAAAAAAATCATTGGGGTTTCTGAAGATGGTGATCTATACTATCAGAGGACTTCAAAAAGTCCACAGACAAATGGAGTAACAAGATAATGGAATTTTCCCACAAACTTTTTTAAAGCCCCATCTCTCAGAGACTGCCCAAGATGTAAAACTGGACTTAACTGAAGCCAACTTTAGATTGCTACATGAAAGTCATTTTTCCTCCCACTAGTCCCCACAGGTTGCCACTGATTTACGATGTACCGTGATAGACTGTGTTTACAACCATCCTTTCTTGGTGGGGGGACATCTTATCCTTAGTAATATGTACCACATACATGTAGTAGCATGTGATTTGCTTGTATTATTCTCAGATGTAATATTTCCAATCACCAACGAAAAAGCTATTATTTTCAAAAAGACTCATAAATAAAAAAATAAAATAAGACTGATAATAAAAGACAGTATAAATGAAAACCTTTAAAGAAAAACATCCAGGTTGCTTGGAACTGACTCACAAGGGAGGAATACATTGGGAACTACCTGGAATTTTGAGCTTTTTCTTGGCCAAAACCCCCGTTGAGGTCGTTTGAGGGAAGATCTAGGCCCTTTTTCTAGACGCAGAGATGTATGCGAGTCATGCTAAGAAGTTGCGCGAACAATCGCCAGCAGTTCCCAGGTTAAGTGTTTCTTAAATGTAAGCGCGTGAACTAGGGTAATGAACGCGTTAATGCTGATGCTAATTCTTGCTGCCTCTGGTGGCCATAGGTGGGACAGGGACGGTGCAGGGTTCCAGCACAGGGCCGGGTGTGGCTTTGTTGACTCTGGGTGTGGGTAGGTGTACACACTTGAGCATTCACCAACTGCAAAAATAAGAAAAGAACTCCAAAGCTGGGTTGTTTTTGTTTTTGTTCAAATTGTACTCTTTTTGGGGTGGCCATGTGAAAAGGATAGATAGAGGGTATATATAGAAATTGACTGTCCCGTTGAATTTCTGTGGCTCCACCTAGTTAACGTAGATGTGGTAGTGAAAATATACTCTTGTGTATTTACTTATTTAACATGATTGTAGAAGTCTGCTAAATTAGGTATGGTCTTCATAGATGTAATATTGGTTAGATACAAGTATACAGCATTTTCTCAGAAATTCACCATTGCTTTCTGATGAGCCATTAGTCTGTTTCCTTCCCTCTCTCAGAGGTGAGCATTTGTTGGTCATTTTGGAAACCAACATAAAGAGGACTTAAAAGACAACCCTTTGTCCTATGATTGATTTTCCCCCCTAAGAACATATTCTCAGGAATGGAATTGTATAGTCAATGATAAAAGCTTACTCTTGTTTTTTTAAACCTACTCTTTAAAAAATTGTTGTTTCTGTGTATATGCAAAATGACATGTTTTGCTCTCTTGCTGTTCTTTATAATAAAAACATCCTATCATGCTGTTTCTTTCATATGTTTTTTCAAAAGCCAAAATATTACAAAGAACGATGTAAGAACCCCTGACATAGCATCCATGGCCTGCAGCTGTTGGAGTGAAATTAATTGGCTTTGCAGAAGGAAGACGTTCTTAATAGTGAATTCTGGTGCACAAAACCTTTTCTTTTTTTAACACAAAAAATGTATACGTGAGGAATACCTGCTCGTTCCTCCTCCCTTCTCTGTGCAGCCCAGCTCGCTCACTGAGAGTCTAGGCCTGTCCACTCCTCAAAGGGAAGCTTTGTGACTCAAGACCGGGCCTCTGCTGATTTCCTATCTCGCCATTTTAGGTTGCAGAAATGTCTGAATGTGTGGGCTCGGCGCTGATCCACAAGGGCTTCAAGGCCTCCCCGGACCAGTACGTTGGCATCTTTGCTCAAAACAGACCTGAGGTATAACCAT